AATTACTATCACATGTAAAAACATCTTCAAAAATAGCTATTTTGTTTCTTTTCAATTACATTTTTAAGTGTATTTTAACAAAATTGTTAGTATTTTGTTTTACCTATATTTAAAATTAACTGTATTTAAAAACTTCCTGTTAATAATGTTTAATGAAAACTATATGACATGAATTATATTATTATGTGTCGTTCTTATTATACGTCAAGTATTCCTCTCATATAAAATCCACATTCATAAATATTAAATTTAATGACGACTATGTAAAACCAATTCAATTTCAGAAGACATTGAATATTTTCTTGAATATTTCAAAAAAGTATTTTTGATCCAAGCAGCAATTTTAAGCAAAAATTCCAAAATTTGTTCCTCATCTCGTTTAATAGAAGAGAAGTCCCCAGGATTTTCAGCATATTCAACCTTATATTTATATTTAAGTAAATCTTTTAGAGTTAAAAGACCACAAAGTTGACCATATTTCTCAATAAGTATTATTCTTGGTCCTAATTTCTGAAACAATTCCATAACTGTTTCCAATGGAAGTTCAGGATGAACTGTTAATGGAGTAGTATTAACACAATAAGAAAGATTCAAAGAAGTTATAGGTTTAGAACAATTTTCTAAAAAATCAAAAGATTTTGCAGAATTATAAAATTCAGAATTATTTTCAAGCATTGAAAAAAAACAACGAGTCGTTGGTAATACTTCATTCCTAGATTTAATTTTATCTATGAAAATATCAATGTCAAATATAGTAATTAATTGATAACAACCTAATACCCGTTGTAAATAATTGGATTTAACAAATCCTAATAACAACATAGATTCTCGATCAGTTACTACTGGAAATCCTTTAACATTAGAATTTAAAATAGTTTCTAAAATATATTAATTTAATAGATTAATAATAAAATTAATAAAAAATTACCAAGTTCTTGCAAACTCAATCCATTAGATGGAATAACTATTAAATTCTGTGTCATAATATCTTCAACTGGAATACCAAAATAATGTTCTTTAGAATCTAAATAAGGAAAACCATTAATCCATATCATTCTATTAGCAATTCCTCCCGTTCTAAAATGATCAGATACTGTCTTTGTAATCCCAACTACAATCTATATATATTAAACAAAAATGATAATTTAAATTAAAATTATACCATTGTTGGAAGTATAAATGTTAAAGCACCAGTAAGTTCAAACATAATTAAAACGACAGATACTGTAATATGCATTATTCCGCTTAAGGTGGCAGCAGCACCAAGAAAAGCATATGTTCCTGGAGTTATACACTATCAAAATATTATATCAAGATTATGGTAAAACTTGCAAACTTACATGAACATCTTGTTGACATGCAGAAAAGAGTATAAAATTAGGAAATTTTTTGTGAAAAGCCGAAACAAATATACCTAAGAAACGACCAAATGTTGCGCCAACTGCCATTGATGGTACAAAAATTCCTGCTGGTATTTTTAAACCATAAGATACTATTATCAAACATGTTCTTATAACAGTAGCAATAATTAACGAAATTATTATTCTTGCTTGTGAAGAATTCCTTAATATTATAAATTTTATAAATAACAATAAATAATACCAACTTGCAAATACCATCATAATCCAAATCATCAGAACATTCTCTAAATAAAATCTTCATACTTTCTGTCATATCAATTTTCAAAAACGCATTACTATAACTCAAAATAGCTGTTATTATTGCAAAGATAGTTGCTTCAGATACAGCAAAACTAGAAAGATAATGACGACGAAAAGCTTGAAAACGAAGATTCCATTTAATTACAAATGCACCATACAATCCTCCAAATAGTCCAAGAATTGTAAAAAATATAATTTCAAAAAAATGCCAACTTCTGTTATAATGAACTTGAAACATGACCAATTGCCCTGTTCTAAAAGGATTCATAGTCTTCAGATGATTAAAAAAGGAAAAAAAGAAACAAAAACCCACCGATAAGACAGCTATTGCAACCAAAGCACAAAAAAAACTTCTCCACATTGTTTTCATTGGAAAATGAGATGATATTTCCTAAGATTAAGTAAATCAAATAAAAGCAAACATTAAAATAGAACTTCAAAAGAAAATATAACACCACCAATAGGACTACCAAAGGCAACAGCAACACCTGCTGCAGAACATGCTGAATAGATTTCTCTTAACTTTGCTTTTAAATATTTAGTGTTTTTTTTAAAACAAAAATATTTTTACCTGAATGAATTTTATATTTTTCAAAAAACTTGGTAATAAGATGCCCAATGCAAAGTGCAACATGGACAAAAGGTCCCTCTTTACCAACACTAAGTCCGGATGCAATAACCAATATAAGTCCAACAGATTTTACTAATAATGTCCAGAATCCTAAAAACCCCTTCATAACAAATCCACCAACGATACACTTTATTTCAGATATCCCTGATCCGGCAGCATAAGGTGCATATGATTGCACCAAAAATGCACTCAAAAAAGAAAAAAAAGCCTTTTTTATATCAATATTAATTTTCATATGCATCAAAAACAAGACATACAGAAAAAATAATATAATAAAAAAAATTGAAAGGCGAAAAGCTTGACCATGAATGCCAGTCCTCACATACTAGATAGATCAATATTTTTTCCTAAAAAAATAAAGGCACTTTTTCCCGATTCCCAACAACAAAATTCCTGGCTCAAATACCACGCAGAAGAACAGTACCCAAGCTTTATATCTGAAAGCCATTTTGTTGTTATGCCGATAAAAGTAGCGTTTAAGCCAATAAGAATGCCTGTAAATATTGATATGTGATTTAAGCGTTTTCCAGAGATATTTACCGACAATCGTGATAATAATCCATACTTGAATATCATAAAAGACCTCTCTAGATAGATAAAATGCATTATAAACCCATCTCTTTTCCTTTAAGCCCTTATAACGCAAATGATATTTATGGGCCATTTTCGGCTTATTTTGAAGCGGATCTTGAACCCAATCTAAAGAAACGACCATAAACAAATGCCTCTGTAGTATTCCAAGCAAATACCAATGGTCCCAAAGTCCTCATAACGCTGGATCTCATCCAAATCTTTGGTGGCCTCCTTACTCATGTAAAAGCTCATTTTAAAAGCGGAAAAAAAGCAGGTAGCAATAAAAAGACGTCCTAAACATGATTCTACACAGAAAAATCACAAAAACCCCTATCTTTAAGGCCTTTTTAGGGTTATCCTGTGCAATAAAGATTTTTCAGGTACTCGCCTAACAACCTCATAGCAACCTTAAAAAATCCGACTGCCGTATATCAGACATTATGACATCAGCTATTGTTGACCAAGACATTACAGGGACATCAGTCCTGCCGATCTCAAAGGTCAAGAAGATCATCCGTATTGACGATGATATTGTCCAGTGCTCCAGCAATTCAGCGTTTTTAATTGCAATTGCTACGGTTTTTATTAAAGATAGCACCTTATTATTAACATATATAGGAAATGTTCATTCAATATATGGTCCAGCAAGGGCTATTGATGTGCCTGAATGAGAATAAAAAGACACTGCAATATAGACATCTTGGTATCATTATCGTCTCTTTTCAATGAGTATTTTAAGTCCACTAGCAAACGCAGTATCCAGATTAGATAATCTGGAGTTTTTGTCGGGTAAAATAACATTCTATAAAAAGATTAAGCTTAGTTGAAGATACCATTCCAAAGACAATTGCATTCAAAGATATTCCATCAAAAACATCAAAAGCGCCGGCCAAAAACACAGAATCTGATAAACTATAAGAAAAATATTTGCATGACTTTACGACTCTCATTCAAACCAAAAGAATCTATTCTCCTTGACTAGTTTATACAAGCTTAAGCTTTATTTAACTTTCAATAAATATCCATCATTTTCTTTTGTATATGTAAAACCCTCATCAAAAATCCCCAACATTAAATGTATATTTAAAGATAATCCAAAAAGCGGGCTCCAACATGTGTCCAGTCGCAAATATGTTAATGATATCTAAAAAGATTCAAGCGTTTATATATATTTCTATATATTCATATTTAAGCAGATTTGGACTTTTTTGCACCATATTTTGAACGAGATGTAACTATAAAAGACAAAATTATACAAAAATCCCATTCCTAAATAAAATAGACACACCTCTATTAACCACACCTAGCAGGTCACGTGCACCCCGCACCAAATGATACCTGACACCTGGTAAATCCTGTACTCTACCACCGCGTAATAGGACTACAGAATGTTCCTGAATATTATGACCTTCACCAGGAATATAAGCAATAACCATTCTTCCACAGGTCAATTTAACACGAGCAACTTTTCTTTGTGCAGAATTAGGTTTCTATATATATATTAAACCTTTTTTCAAAATAAATAATTTTGAGAAAAGTACTTTAGGTTTCATCTGTAAAAGATGTTAATATATTATTTTGATTTAAAATATTCTTATTTACTGTATATATTTTATTACATACACCTTGTCTAAATGGCGCACCGTTTAGACGAGGTGCTTTGGGTCTAGGAGGTTTTCTAGGCAGACGAGCACCACGAATGACCTGATTAAGAGTTGCCATGCTTCTTAAAAGAATTGAATTGTCTTTGTCTTTTAAAAAGTTAAAAGACCAATGTGTTAATCTTTTTAGTATTAACATCTTTTAAAGATTTATCAATATTATTAATATATTAAAAGTTTTAAACTGTATTTGAGATGAATGACTTTATAAGCTATTATCTATGTCTGATAATACACAAGGAATTATATACTTTAATATTTAAAAGTTATATACGAAAAAAGCCTTATATTTTTATATATATTAAAAGTCATATTCATTAAAAAATATCTTATATCATTATATTACATACATGTCGTACAAGTAAGTTTTATTTGTCTTGTAAGGAATTAAGAACTCAATTCCAATAATCAAATATAAAACATTTCGTAAACTTCTAATTTATTATTTATTTATTTATCTCACTACGGAAAGACGCCCCACTAGCATAGTTGGTTATTGCATCGTGCTTATATGAATTTCCGCGATGGAAACACATATCTCCTCGAGACGCGGGGGTCGGCAGTTCGAGTCTGCCGTGGGGCACTTTTTAATAAATAAAATTAGCTTCTATACATTATAGATAACCCTAATATATAGTTTAAAGAATAAATTAAAATGCTTTCCTAAGAACATTTTTTGCCTTTTGAAGAGCAGATGTACTTTTCATTTTCAACGATTCTTTGTATTCTTGAATCGTTGTATTAAGTTTAACAATTTTCTTATCCCTAATCTAATTTTATATCAAAAAATATTTTAAAAAATAAAGAAAATAGAACCTCCCATAATTCTCCTATATCTTGAAGACATATTTGTTCAATTAACCGAAAATCATGGCTAACGAGTACAATCCCCCCTGTCCAAGAATTACATGCTTTTGCTAGAGCATCAATAGATTTAATATCCAAATGATTCTATACTTGATTAATTTTTTCGTAAAAAATCATATTTTTTACAGTAGGCTCGTCAAGAAGAATAATATGAGGATTTTCTAATGCAAGCTCAGCAAATACAACACGACTTTTTAATCCATCACTTAATGCCCTAATTTCACTTGTTTGATGAGCACCTGATAAACCAAATCGGCCAAGATGGCTTCTCCATTGTTGAACTTCTCGTTCGGGATACTGCGATTTAAATTTATTTTGAATATAATACAAAGGCGATTTATCATATGGTAATTGATCTGCAGAATGTTGACTATATTTTGCAAGCTTAAGTCCAGATTTTCTTGATATATTACCAGCCGTTGGTATTAAGGCCCCTTTTAATATTAAAATAAAATAAATCAAAGTAAATTATATAAACCCGTAATTAAGTTTAATAAGGTAGATTTCCCTGTACCATTTTTCCCTACTAAAGCTATTCTTGAATCCATATCTATAGCAAATGATAGGTTCTGATACAATGAATTTTTAACATCTCCATCATATGAAAAACAAACATCATTAAACTAATGATCAATTTAAAAATAATAACTTAAACTATTTTAAAAACATACAGCAATAATAGGTGGCAATAATTTCTGAAGATTCTCAAATTTGAAAGAAACTGATTTCGGTTGTTCAACTTTTTCAACAAGACCTGCAGCTTCCATTTTGTCTATAATCTTTTGTTTAGATTTTGCCTGACGAACCTTAAACACAGTTAATAATAACTTGACTCAAATATAGAAATAATTACAAGATTCGCATAGGTACCGGCACTAGAGACAAACTTTTTAATATGTGCAATTTCATCTAAATTAGGAATGTAAAAAAAAACAATTCATCGAAACAATTAAATATACCTTGCTGTTTAGCATATGCTTTCATCTGATTTACTTCAAGCTCATGCTTTGTTCTTACATATGCATCATAGTTCCCCCCATAATATAGCAATTGACGATTCATTGTAAGATCTATAATATTTGTACAAACATTATTCAAAAAATCTTGAGAATGAGAATTAATAACCAAGATTCTATCATACTTTGACAGATACGCTTCTAACCACACTACCCTAAAGTCATTTAAAGATAAAAAAAAAAAAAATATAAACATACGCTTCAAGATCCAAATGATTTGTCGGCTCATCCAAAAGAAGCAATGTTGGTCTCAAGAATAATGCACAACCAAGTGCTACACGCATTCTCCAACCTCCACTCATATCTTTTGTAGGTTTTTTCATCATTGAAGAAGTAAAACCCAGTCCGTATAATATTATACTTGCTTTTGCTTCAAAGGTACTAGGATCCAACTCTTCTAACTCATTATATTTATCTTGAAGCAAAACCTCGTCAAGATCTTCTGAAGTAGATAGTCTTTCAATTTCTTCTTCAATCTTGGAAACCTTCTCTTTAGCCGATGCAATAATAAAATCAACTGCATTAGTTTCTGAAGGCTCTGCTTCCTGATTTAAAAGATAAATATCGACATGATAAGGAATTTCAACATCTCTAGAAGCCAAAGATTTCAAAAACGTACTCTTCCCTGAGCCATTTGCCCCCAAAAGCCCATATCTCTGCCCATAATTCAATTCAATCGTTGCTTAATGAAATGTTAGCCTTTTTCGAGCCTTTTTTTTGAAAAAAGCATACCATTCTATAAAACAATCATCATAAATCAATCTAAGACGCATATATCAATGATATATACCTCTATTAATACTCTTCCATGAAAACTTAATGAATATTGTTCTATTTTAATATCCCGACTCATTAACCGACTTGTTAAAACGCCTGTGGCATTCCTATCTCCCAAGGAAAGCTTATGCATGGACAAATCAAGACCGCCCGGGCTATCCAAATCATTTTTTGCTGTGGCCGCTTGAGATTTAGCAGCACGTTTTAATTTTTCTGCCTGAAAAAAATTAGAGAATATCAAGAAATACAGGCAAATACTACCTCTCTCTTTAGCTTTGAGGATGATTTAGACATACGATCTTAACCAAAAATAAAATTAAGCAATTTTTTTAATTCTACTCAGCCGTCTGACCGAGATATACGCTAAGACCGATGGCCTTGCCATATATATAATTAAACAGTTATACCTATAAAGATTATTCAAATCATGTATCTATTCATATATTAGAATCTCTACGAGATATATGCATATCCTATACCATATATATGCGTTCCTACATGGTATATATGCACTTTCACTGTAGTAAAAAGCGTTGAAAATACAAATTCAAGTTAATAAATAAAAGAAATAAGACGAATTTATCAGAGACAAGACCAATATTTAGATCTATAATCTCTTCATGTAAATTTATCCGGATATAAAGCATATCTCGACTTGCACATGTATATCATGTATATGCAACGCACGCAGATATATACAGGAATATATGCGTGTATGGAAAGACTTAACACAACTCTTCAGAATTAAGCCATATTTCAACGTTATTGAATCTATATATTTATTAAAAAGTACAAAGTGTGTATATTTTTATAAAATCAAAATGAGGATTTAAAAATGATGGGTTATATGCGCTATATATTTATCTATAGTTAAATATAAAAGCCAGAGCAACAGCCTTTTCTATCTTTTTAGCCTTTTACAGGCCAAAACGATAGAAATTATTTTACCGTGTTTATAGTCTGTATCGCTCAACCTCTTTTTACTCGTAGATAAAAAATCTGGTGCAGGCAAGCCTTTATAAAAGTGTAGGTATGACCGTCTTGGATTAAGAGACATGCTCAAAGATACAGGATTAGACGCTCTTTGTAAGGACCTATGAATGAGGAGTTTGCAGAAAGGTATAGGGTTTAAGGGGTTAAATAAGATTGAATGATCTAGTTTCGAGTTTGAGAATATATATGATGGGTTGGGGGAGGGGTTGGAAGAGACAAAGGATGATATGAACGAGGATACGTTTGGAATAAGCGCGGAAGATGTTGGTGTGTTTATGGCTTTTTTGGGGCCGAAATTCATTATGTTTAGGAAGAGATTTTGATTTTTCAACAAACACGCAAAAAATGGCAAATATGATAAATAAAGAACATGCCATTTATAAGGGAAAGGATAAGATTGCAGAAGAAGTGCCGGATGTTGAATTACCGTCTTTTGGAAAAGAAAATGAGAAAATTTCGGATGTTCAGTATGTTCCATATGTTTCTAATGAAACGACTCATTCGAGCGATACATATTCGATTACGGTAATTAGAGGGTATTTTGCAGGGCTTTATTTCTTATTTTTTTCGTTTTTTAGAAAAAATTGGAATATTCATTAAATTTACAAACTCCCTCTCTTTCTGAAACACCTATATCTACGAATGAATCTAAAACGAAACATTTTAAAGGGTGTATTAGTTTGAAAGAGCTGGAAGCACAATTTTTTGAAAATAATAAAAGGATTTCTAATGAATCGACTCCAGATAATATTCTTAATAAGGAATTTTTAGATGATAAAAATCCTGAAAGAAAATTCTCTAGATATAACTTTTATACTAACTCAGGACTACATTATTCTGATCTATCTAAAGACAAAAGATATGAAGATATAAATGAAACAAAACCATTTCATCATAATCAAAGTACAAATGATATGGTAAGATAAACATTTTTATGGTCCTTCTTATATGATTAGTCTCAATATGATGGACTTATGAATAACTCGGATAAAAATTTTATTAATCGTATACAACTTTCTCAACTTATTTCAGATGATCCATATTCAGAGGATTATTATTATTATTCATACAATTCTTTAAAAAACAAGGATAATCAACAGAAATTACAGGATAAATCTAACTTATTATCTTCGTTACAAGATAAAGAATCCCCCAATGTTAAGAATAAACATAATGAAAATCCTGTATTAAAAATACAACAACAGATACAAAATATCGTAGCATCTGGAAAAATGAAACCAAAAGCAACTCAACTTAGTTTGGAAGGCGCATTGGGGAAAATATCTTTAAGCAACGTTAGAGCTCCGCGACAAATTCTTAGCGTTAAAAAACTTTCAGATAGTACTGAAAGAAACGATACTAAGGTTCTCTTCTTATATATTACTGCTTTTTTTTACACTTTTATAGGCATCTCATACAAACGTTGAAAGAAATGATAAATTTTATCTTTATTGTATCGAAAGGGTTTATAATTCTTTGATAGAGATTAGTGAGATAATGCGGAAACAGAAGCAAAGCAGACAAGAAAATTACAAGCCTGCAGATGATGATGAGCAGAACAAAAAGATTATGTTATTTAAAGAACAAATTTTAGAAAGCCTTCATATAAGGGAACCAATTCCTGAAAAGTATTTGTATTTACCAACAATATATTTATTCTAATGATATATAGTCCTAATACTATCCATCCATTTATATCAATTATATCATATAATAAAGGAAAAAAACTGATACCGAGAATATTCGAATATATCAATAGCGAACAAAAGCTAGCTATTTTGACCATAATCACCGTATATTTGGATCATCTTGATGTTGTTGTATACGATTTGTATAGATTTTCAAATGAACCACGTCCACCATATATAAAAGAAAATATCGATACATTTACACAAGTAGCATTACCATCATTACTTGCATATGTATCCGA